ATATTTTTCTAACTTATCCATTAATAACTCATGATTGATTGTGTCAAATGCTTTTTTTAGGTCAATAAATATTCCCATCGTGTATTTCCTCTCATCCATAGCACTTGTTATGTCCTCCATTAGGTTGGTAATATGTATTGTACAGTACTGTAAAATGTACCTTGTATTCAATGTGTATCTATATTTTAACAGCAATGTCATTACTTCATTTATACTCAGTTGTAATTTCATGTTACATTTTGTGAGCCCCCTGCTCTTGTTAGGGGCTTCAGTGGGATTAACCCTGAGAGGGGAGTAAAGGTGTGGAAAGGTAGTGTACAAGAAGACGAGCTTGTTGAGAAGAAGTCACCAGACAGTAAATCCACATGCTGATGCTCTGATGAAAAACCTGGTGGATTTTGAATGGCACTTCATAAAAGTAAGTTATGTGTTACTTCATTTCTCTTTGTAATAATATGCACCTCTTTGCACTCATTCTGTCTCTGTGCAGTTTTGCACCTTTTGTGGCTGTCTTGCGTCTCTTTGTGGTCATTTGACCTTCTACTAAGAAATGTTAAAACCAAAGTTCCTGCTTAATTTTCTCACTGCTGCTCTTTGTGTTGCAGTTCCCCGTATGACCGGGCAGCGGCGCTGTTTTCACGGCTGCACAACTCTCTGTATTTGGTGAAGGACTATGTTGTAAAAATCTTTCAAACTATTTTTCAGCGACACCGTGGCTCCTCTGGTGGTCTGATCGGTGTTACCGGGCCTCTGTGACTGTCTGTCCCCGAGGACGTGTGTCCAGCCCGGGTTGGACTGTTTCGGCCAGCTGCTGAGCGGTTTTCTGCTCTGACTGGAGGTTTTACTGCCAGCCAAGTTAACGTTAGCTCAACAGCTAAAAGTCACGTCACCTGTGCGGGGTCGAATTAAAAGTTTCGCATTTGTTCCGGGACAACCGGGTGAGTTTTAACTACATGAGGTTAGAAAACTCTGTCTCGACTGTTTTTGTGTGGGCTTCGTATTTTATCTCGCTTTCACGCAGCGACAAATTTTGCGTTAGAGACAGTAGCAAGTGAAGCGTGGCTGCGGGTGATAAATGTCGGTCAGACACGCAGTCATACATGGATAAGGTGTTTTTCTGAGGGAAATGCGGTAGAGAGAAGGAAGCCTCTGTGTTCAGCACTCTGACTCGGCGGCTCTGGGTTTGCTGCTCGCGAGGCCTGCGGGTCAGGCTTCCACCGGGCTTGAGTAGAGCCCGAAGCCGCCATTGCAGGGTCTAAGGCCGCCAGTCGGTGCCGCCACCGCCGGGCCTGCGGACCAAAGTATGGAACGGATGGAGGTGGACCAGTGCGCAGGCGCAGCTGGCGGGGCAGGAGGCGGAGCTCTCCGCAGATCGAACAGTGCACCGATGATCACCAGTGTCAGGTCAGTGGCATAACTTACAGCTGTGCAACACCGAACATCGTTTAAAAGGAATCAGAACTAAACTTGTATTGTCTGTACGGAGTCGTTCACAATCACATAAATATGACGAAAGACAATGTATTAATGCCCACTCTTTAATTCGGCATACATTTAATACACCAAGTTGCTCTTAGTAAAATAAAACCCCAAACCTTTGTTTTGTAATATTATGGCCTCATCCTTACTGTGTGGCTCTGTTTTCTATGATATTCTTACAATATTACTGTTGGAATTTGTAGTGTCTGTGGTTTATAATTGTATTTATAGTACATGCGTGTGCTCAGGTATTATTAGAATGTATGAAATAATTTAATTTTGTACTTTGTGAATAATACCTTCCAACTAAATTTTGACAGACCTGTTATTGTCCTTTTTGAGAGGAAAGAGAAAATAAATCTGTTTAATAAGAAAATACAGACATGCAATAGATTGATCAGTTAGACAATCAACAGAAATATGATCTGTAACAGTTTTGATAACGGAGTCCATTTTTAGCAGAATATCCATATATTGTCTTTTTTTTTTTTGTCTTATGTCAGTGTAAACCCAATATCTCGGGGTTTTGGACTGGCTCAGATGAGAAAAGACATTTGAAAAAGCCACTGTGGGCTTAAAGAAATAGTACTGAACATTTTTCATCTTCCTGTGAGATTTTGTAGTCTGTATGCTCTCTGTACCTGTATATGTTGTTAATATCTCTCTCAGTGATGGGATGACGGTCTTCAGCCCCATGTCGTCGGCTCGATACAGGCGCAGCAGTGTGTCCATCAATCCCAGCTGCCCTTCACAGGTCAGTGTCATTTTGTATGAACATCTTACATGGAAAAGTCTGGACGGTAGTCCGACTGTCGGGCCTGAAATATCTCTGACAACGTGACACTAGTCTGAAGTGAATGATGTAAGATTCATATTAAGACTGCAGCCACACGAGCTAAAACTGCAGAGAGAGATTAAAGGATACAGATTCTATGTGTTTCCATTAATGTGCACAAACCCTGTCCAGAGAACAGCAGCACCAGTGAGCCACACCGCTGCACTGGGGGGCAGGTTTCTCCTCAGGAAACACGGGAGACCCTCTGTTTCCAACAAACAGCTCCACAGGCTGAGAACGGTGTCACTGTGCACAGAGTCACTGATCAAACTCTGGTTACGCTGCTCCACCAGCTCCTCACGCTGCACAGAACATTTTACAGACCATACTTTGACGACACAGGGTGGAGACGCTGGAATAACAGCAGAAGAGCTGTAGGCAGCAGAGGGTCACTGGGGTTATCAGACCGTGCGGAAAATACCTCCACCTTTTAATTTTTTTTTCTTTTTAATGGAAATTTTACAGTTCCCCCTCCCATCCTGACGACAACAGACCAGTTTGAACTTAAAACTCACTCTCTGTTAGCTCCTACTTTTGGTTTGGTTTCTGCGGACTTTCATCCATGGTTTCTTTGTGTTTTCCTCCTTCAGCTCGTCCCTCTCTCTCCTTTTTCTCTGACCGGAGACAGACTCGACCAGAAGAGGCAGGTGAGGACAGACGCATTCAGACTACTTCTTCCTACCCAGCGTTGCTCTCCTCTGTTCATTCACACTGACACAGCACTGTCTTTCTCCTGATACATTAACAGGCTGTGCATGAGGACGACAGGCTCCACACTGATAGGCTCCTTCAATAACACTCAATTATAGTGTTTATGTTTTGCTTCAGTGAATGCCCAGGCCCACCGCTTACCAAATTTGGAGCATTACATGTTTTTAAATTAACATAAACATGTTCATGTACTTCTGCTTTATGTGCTCTTACAAACACAGAGCTGCTAAGTGTTTCACAGAACAGAAACATCTGAAAGCCTGATGTCAGTAAAACTCAACTATAATAATGAAACTGTATGGTGAAAACATTTAAATGTAGCATGATCTAAATTCAGCTTTAATTTCTTACAGATATTGTAGTTGTTTTTTTAGTGATGGAAATGAAATTAGAAGTAAAAAGATTTAACTAATTATTTTGTTCATCATACTTAAAGTGTACCACTCAGGATTTACTGCAGGACTTCTGGATCACACTGGCTCAGTTTGAGACAGGTGTTCCTAATAAACTGACCACTATATGCAGTATTTAGCTTATTGTCCAAGCATAGGCGTTGGAGTGGACCCTGAACTCCAGATCAACATGGAGGTCAGTAACAGCTGTTTGTGTTCGATGCAGGAGGAGAACATGGAGATAACGCTCAGAGGGAGTCTGCAAAGACTAAGGTACGGCACACACCCAGCTCTGTCCCACGTCTTTAAAGCTCGAACCAGGTATTTAACTCTTCCACCATCTCTCGCTCACCAGTGCTTCCAGTCTGATCCCAGTTCCGCCAGTCAGTCAGTGGCATGACCAAACATCAACGGTGAGCATCTCTACACCTGATTTTTTTTTTTTTTTTTTCTGATGGAATTTGTTCTTGGTTCCTGTCAGTTACTACATTTCACCCACTGGATGCTTTTCCAGGTCCAGATCAGAGGGTCTGGATGTATCCAGATCAAACTGATCAGACCGATGTAGGTCAGACCTTTAAGACTAAATCTAGATTAATGAGTTCAGACTAAATCCAAATAAGGGTTTCAGACTGAGTTCATATGAGATCATTTGGACTAAATCCCAGTTAGAGGCCTCAGGCATATTCAGGTCACACTGCTGGGGCTAATTCAGAGCATTTATCTTAAATCTAAACAAAGGTTTCAGACTCATCTAGATCGTGGTATCATGGATCATGGCATCATACCATTCTTAAACCTAAATCCAGATTAAAGATTTCAGAATGAATCAAGATCAGACTCTTCAGACTTAATATAGATCAGGGGGTTTAGAGTGAATCCAGACCAGACTGGACATAGTGAATCCAGATCAGAGGATGTGGAATGAATCCAGATCTAGACAGATCAAGAATAGAGTCCTAAAAATAAGTCCATATCAGAGGGTTTGAAGTGAATCCAAATCAGAAGTGTCAGACTGATCTAAACTATAATTAAACCCGGATCAGATTAGGCTGAGAGGTGTGGTCTAAATTCAGATCTGGAGTTTTGACAGATTTCTGTTTTCCACCTTTTCTTCTTCAGTGGTTCCAGTCGCAGGACAGTGGCATCACACCAAACTCCTCCCCAAGTCCAACCAGGAGGTTCAGGTACACACACAAACATGGGTTTATTCTGGTTTTAGTTACTGATGTGGATCACTTTAGTTACATATCTGCTCACTGTCCAACAGACCAGCAGTCAGCACCACTATGCGATGGCCTGCGTTAACGCCGCTGAAGAGGAAAGGTAATCAGTGTGTGTTTAGTATATGCACTTCACTTGAGTTTGTCTGTTTTCTGCAGCTTTATACTTCTGCTCCACAATATTTATATGACAACTTCAGCTTATGAATGGTCAGGGATGAAAGACAGCGGTATCAGTTCTGGTACTGCCCTCTGGTTGTCCAGTACAATGCACCGACACCACTTGGCAATAGCATTACATTATCGTCTCGCATTGGTTGAGCAAATACTTTGGCAGAGGAGGAGGCATTTCCTCTGTGTTCCTGGGGGAGCGGAGAGGAGGTCATGTTTTACTTGTGACGACACCAGTCAGTGCATGCAGCAGACTGGTCCTATAATGGAGGGAGTATAAGCAGCTTGTCAAACACCAAACAGAATACACTGTCAGAACTGTGACACTTTCACTCTCCTCATGGTCAGAATGCCTGGTCTGTGTTCACCCGCTGCACCCACGTGGTGCTCGTTCTGCCAACTGTAGTGAAACAACGCTAGTTTGATGTCGATAACAGCTGAGCGTAAAGAGCTCGGTGTATAAAAATTTGCTGATTTCCTGTGGACCTGGAGGCTGAGACCAGCAGCTCCTCTACAGCAGCATCCAGCCCAAATACAAGCTGGCCCCAAAGTCACTGCACTTCCATGGTCATTTTAATCTTTGTATTAGAAACACTGTTATTATTAAGTACTTGTATCAGTCCTCACTGTTGGCAAGTACTCATAGGTCAGTGCGTCACTGTTGATTGCTCTAGGGCTGCAACTGACGATTGACTGACTAATTGTCTCAGTTAATCAGACTATGAAACATTAGAAAACAGCAACGTGCATCATCATGAAATGTCATGTTTTTATTGACCAACAGTCCAGAACCCAAAAATATTTTGTGTAGGACGAGGAAAAGCAGCAAACTGAATGAACCATCGAATGTTTGGCCTATCTACATTCAAAAAACGACTCCCAGTAAACGATTAATCAATAATGAAACAATTTCATTTCTGTCCTTCAACTAGTCATTACAGCTCCAACAGTGTGATACAAATTGCTCTGAACTGGGCCATTCTGCATAATGACTAGTTTCACTTTTAGTAGTTTATGTATAATTTCATGCAGGACTTTTTACTTTTATGTACCAGAGTATTTTTCCAGTGTGATAATGAGTAAAAGATCTGATTACTACTTCCTCCACTGCAGATCATGTGGTGGTGTCAGAAGTACTCAGATCTACTTAAGTAAAAGTATTGTTACCACACTGAAGAAATACTCTGTTAAAAGTCCTGCATTCAAAACTTATAAAATTACTAGCATCAAAATATGCTTTAAATATTTTTTACTTACAAATTTGTGACCCTTTAACTCTCAGGAGGGGTGGAGTCTGACGGACCCCCAAAGAAGCTTTTTGTTGCTGGGGTAACAGATCCCGCCCACCGCAGCAGCTACACAGTCAGGTGAGGCTCACCTGGAACACACACAGTCATGATAGTATCGAATACTAAGTGGAAAATACTGATTAAGCTTCTTTTTGCCCCCCGCCCCAGTGTCCCCCAGTCAGCAGCAGACTCTCCTCCTGCAGGAGGGATCAGTCCTCAGTCCAGCCCTTTGTCTCTCTCTCCTCCCCCCTCTATCACCCCCTTCACCTCCCATCAGCACCCCGGACACTAAACCCCATCCTACATGCTGCCTCATCCACCTCTGTGGATGCAAGCCGGCCACCAGCAACCCTCCCCCTCCAAAAGCCCCGGAGGAGCATCGGACCTTATTGCACCTTATTCCTCTCCCAATCTGCCAGCATCACTGTAAGTCCCGCCTCTTCCTGTGGCTGCGTTCGACTGACGGAAGAACCACAGGCTTCTTCTGTCTGTCTGGTGTCCTGCTCTGTGAGTGGGTCTGTTTCTACCCATCAGCTGTTCCTGTTGGTTGGATATTTAAACCCAGTGTCACTCATCTTATTTGACAGCCTCTTAAATGCTTTTCATTCAGTCCCAGTGGTCCACGTTGGGTTAATGTTGGTCCATGTGTCCAGGCAGGAAGGAGTCCCGTTCAGGGGACTGAGTCTGACTGATCCTCCTCATCATATTACACAATCTGTTTCAGCATCATCGGTGTCCTTCTGACATCACAAAAAATTTTGGTCAAACCTTTAGAGAAACACACTGGTTGTGTTGTCAGACACATCTGGAAAAGGCTTCTGCAGAGATGTACACAAATGTGTGTGTGGGTGTACAGAGAAGGGTAAGTGCAGGTGATGAGCGGCGTGTCAGTGGAGCTGAGCATCAGACAAGTGGGTGAATCAGCATCGGTACAGAGCAACAAAGCAACTGTTTCTGATACAGTGCACAAGGATAAAAAAACGGAGCACACAGACGTCTTTGAATGACGCCTGTTCCAGCCTGAAGATGGTCACGTTTGTCAGTTGTGTTTCTCTGAGAACTAAAAAAAGGATGAAAGTGACAAACGTTTTGTTCTGTGGACGTCGCAGCTCATCTTGGATCGATGACCTCTCGAGGGCTGGAGGTCGTGGCTTGGTTCCCATCCGACCAGTCAGTTGATGCTGTTTCTGAAGTTCCACCTCTTCTCTGATCGGTTATTCAGGGGCTTTGAAGACATTCTAATAAAGTCTTGAGTTGTAATCAGGACAAACGCAGAAGATAAGAAAATGTTTTCAGTCTGTTGATCCGAATCAAGGAATTTCAGGAGCATTTGGTTCCACCTTCAGTGATCCAGTCGACACCTGCAGGAACTGAACCAGACAGCAAAACCTCTGGCTGGAGTTTCACCTGCTGGAAGTTGAATATGTGAACCCACTGACCTTTCTACCGGTAGGGTGTAGAAATCATCTGATTTATTTAGACATGGTCCTGAGTGTTCCTGACTGGTGGGTCTGTTACATTGAGACTAATCACTTTCCACCACACAGAAGATGATGGATTTGTCAATAAAACAAAAGGAGAAATTTACAGAAGCCTGGATATCCAATGAAACACTGTAAAAAATCTTTGTACAAACCCAAAAACTGTATGAACGGGGTTATAGCTTTTGTAAGGCCAAAACTGTTTATTTTTGTCAGGTATTTCTGAGCCCAGACCAGCTTTACCTGAGTCAGACGGGAAGGTCAGTCACTGAAGTCTGAGGTTTGTGTTTTAATGAGAGGTTTCCGTTGTCTGTCGCAAACTCATAGCTCTGACCGAATCCTCCTGGATTCTCCAGAGGAAACGTGCCAATATTCATCCACAGTTTGTTGAACTTTGGACAGTGGCTTCGCTGTGGAGGACGGTGTGATAAACTGGCTCCTGCTCAGTAGAAGTGTGAAGAAGCCGTGGTTTTCGGCACCACATCTGTTCGGTAAAAGTGTGTCTCTATGTGAGTGCAGGCAGTCGGGGCAACTGATGTGTGCTCAGTTTTCCTCAGCCTGCAGTGTTTGTACATACTGAATCTGCAGGAAGCAGCTGTGCTCTTCCTGTGGAGGTGTATTTAAACTGTAGCTTCTCCATTTCCCAGTTTGCTCTCTGCTTCTCACCTGATTGGTCAAAGACATTTCGATTATGGTAGAAATCCCCACAAAATGCGACTTCTCCACTTTTACTACTTGCTTTTTCACTGAACCAGTAATCATTTGTATTTCCTGACGTATCATATTTGCTTTTACTGTTGTTTTTCAGAGTTGCAGCCGTTGATTTTCCAGGTTTATTCTTGTTTGTACTTCAGACAAATCCCTTTAGATGTCCCCTAGTGATAATCATAAACCTGGGCATTAGATTATCAGTTGACTCCTGTGGATGTTTTTGTTGTCCAAATAAAGCAGCTGAGATTAAAACATGAACTCATTTGATGCAAAGCAGTGAAGCAGGTCACTGTTTTACCTGCTGAATCCTGTTGTGCACCATCAGCAAAAGACATGTCTAGGTGGTCCTGATAGCATTGTGTCTAGGTGATCTTGTTTGCTTTGTCATGGCTGAATTCCAAACAGAGGCTTGAGCACATCTGTGGCGCACACGAGAAACTATCTGGTGAGCACATCTGTCACTGGAAACTGTCCAGCCTTTGTCTTGTTCTGACAGAAGGCAGTGTAATAATTGAATAAGCGTGAGTTGGCTGGGGCTCGCGTGCCGGTCGCCGTCTGCCCACAGGGTGGCAGGTTCCCCATTAAGCGCCAGTTCTGGTTCCAACGTTTGCACTTGCACAGTGTTGTACAGTTTTGTACTCTCACTCATCATTGTGCCTAAACATGTCATCATATTTTGGAGGAGCGACAGTCAGGTTGTTTCCTCAGACGTGGATCGGATCGTGGTTGGGAGAGACGTTACTAACCACGCCCACAAGACATTCTTTGTCACCTGACCCGTCACCTGTGAGATATGTGTGTACACAGTCCATATAAGCTGTTCGACTGAAGTGTCTTTAGTCCCCCTTCCCACCAAAACCCAAACATGACTTGATGTGAAGCGGCGCCGGTGCGGCCCGGTCAGCTGTGCCGACGCTGCTGAGGTCATAATAGAACTTTCCAAATGTTTGTTGGAGGCAAATTTGATGTTGTAATTTCCGTTATCACGACTTTGCACAGCACTAGTTAGACCATTTAATCTTCCTTTCTAATTCATGACTGGTAACAGTCATGTGAGAGATGCTGTTACGTTTTGCTGCGTTTTCTCTCCTTCCTGCTTCATTCTTGACTTTGTACCTTCTGCCTGACTCTGTCCTGCTTCCGCAGTTGAAGTTGGTATGAATCTAGGTTAGTTGCTGCTCAGTGGAAGTGCAGCTTTAAAATGTTTAACGACGTGCACAGCAGCTCAAGGGGAAGAATATTCACATTGTTATGCTGGAAAATCTTGGCATTATTGGAGTTAAGGCCCAGTATCACTTTACATTTTTGTTCCAAATGATGCCGAAGCAATAACAGAATTATAGAATAACATACACACAAGAAGAATTACATACATGTAATGTCAGATCAAATTTGTCTTGTACTGACTTTGAGTTTTTCTTCTTTGTCTTTTGTTAATGTTGTGTTAAAACTACATTCCCATATGGAGAAAAGGTGATTTAAGAAACTTGATAAGATTTTGGTCTAGTAAAGCACTAAACATCCAGTGAACATGATTCCATCTTTTCAGTGCAAATTCGAAGTAAACACTGCAACATACCAGTATAAATAATTGTTGTGTATCAGCCCCTCGCATCCCAAAGCCTTATGACTCAGAAAGCTTTTTAACTTTTTATGTGGGAATGTTCTTCCTCAGAAAGTCACTTTGACGCAGAAGCAGGACAGACGTCTCTCAGAGGCGACAGCACGCTGCCAAACAGCTGCACGGACACAAACTGTAGCTTTGAATTGATTTTCTGTGTATTATTTTACCTTTGCACACTGTTGGTAGGGATGAGGAGAGAAGCGAGTTTTGTAGCTGGACCGTAGACACCATGAGGACTCCTCTCTCTGTAGTTAAATGGTTCTCATGATTTTCTTCAAAGAATGTTGTTAAGCCAAAAATTCTTCATCAGAGCAGTTTTGCAAGACAACTCTTTCAATAGCTGTAAAATGAGAAGAACAGTATTCACCTGTGTGCACCTTTATGTCCTCACTCGGTTTTCTTGTCCTTTAAGTTTAAAGCATCCATTCATGTAGCAGATTCCCAGAATCTCAGAGCTCAAATCGTTGCAAGTCCAATTTTACTTTATAAAGTGATGTGTTTTACCAAGAAACGGAGTAAATGGGCGTCTCGTTATAAGGAAAAGAATGGTTTTGCTATAACATGAAAAGGATCTCGTAAAACCAGAGAGTTCAGATTCTTCTTTACAAACACATGGATTTAAGATGATACAAGTTAAAGCTTCCTGTTGGTCGATGATCAGTTTCAGGATATTTTTTTATTTTCCTCCAAAAGCTGGTTGAATTAATGCTGAGGTCAGAGGAGCACCACTCTGCTCACTGCAATGGATGTGAGAAACCAGCCAGCATTTTTCAGTATTGAATAGAGATTTCACTCTGGTAGAACACTGTCAGCACTAACACTCAAATGCAAAAGCAGCAGTTGTTGGTCTAGTTGGTTACTTCTCACCTGAAAATATCAACACTTAATAAAGTGGCAGAACCAGTCCTAGGATAAACGCTGTATCAGCTCTGAGCCTGGCTCCATCTCTGTTTCCTGTACTTAGTTTAAGGCTCCCTAGTCAGAGCCATCTCCAGTCGACAGATGCGTACGGTAGCTCCCTAGTCAGAGCGAGCCGCGGCTCTGTGTCCATCTCCAGTCGACAGATGCGTACGGTTGCATACGTACAGTGATGCAGAAATATAAATCAGATTTATGCGGATGCCTTTAAGTGAAAACTGCGAGGTTCCTGCGTTTTTAGGACTCAGTTTTTTCCTTCCTCGTTGTGAAAGTTTGATCAACAAAAGCCACATTTAGGTGAAAGTAGTTCCAGTGTTACGTTTGTGCAGTGAGAACCACCCTTTGATATGTCATTAAAAGCAAAACCGACACATTTTAGGGTTAAAAGGTTCTAGAAAATTATGCTGATCTACCAGAGTGAGACGGGGCTAAAAGGGGCTCTGATGGTTTTATTCACGGTGATTAAACTAAAAGCACATCTACATTTACACAAGTATTTTCAAAGTGTAAAGAGCTTTTCTTTTGTTTCTTTTTCTTTTGGACAGATTCTCTACATAAGACAAATGAGATGATGTATTTTTATGCAACAGAAAAATAGACGTTTATATTCAAGTGTTCAGTCCCTCCTGATGATCTCATGGCTGTAAAATGATGCAGAATGACTTGTTAGTTTTTAGTGGAAACAATTCATGTACACATGATAAAAAGATATTATATTGTATATTAAAACTACCAATAAAAAATCTACCATATCAGAAACATGTGGTGTTTGTTCAGAACAACAGTTTAATTAAAACATGTGATTTGTTACAGCTTGGTTTTTATTTTTCTGCTTCTGCATCGGCGGCAGCTGCGTCTGGCCCAGTGTCGTGAATGCGATGTCTCAGAAACACTTGAGTGCACACGAGGATGAGCAGACTAGATTTTGGTGGTCAAAGGTCACGGTGATCTCATGACTGTCCCCTTCTCATGAATTTAGCCAACTGATCAACAGAAAATTAATCGCCAACAATTTAATCACTTAATCATTTAGGTACAAATCATCCATTGCAGCTGTTGAACACTTTGTTTATAGTGTTTGTGTTGCATCTTCAGGTTGTGGATGCAGGTTTGCCAAAACAGGATGTTTTTGTAAAGTTTGGCAAAATTCCACTATTTTTGGACCAAACAGTTAATTGATTAATTTAGAAACTATGACCAAATTAATCAATAAGTGAATTGTTAATTGCAGGCCCATTTTATTTATAGTTTGGTTTGTAAAGTAACAGAAAATGTATTGTTTTGTCAAAAACACCCAAAGATGATGGCAAAAGAAAAGGACCAGCAGGAAGTTCTCCAGGTCTGCTTAGCAGAATTCATTGACCAGCTGATTGGCCAAAAAATTGTTTTGATTGTTTCAAGCTCAATAAATAAATAATGGTAATTTATTTATTTGTCCTAGTTCCAGCTTCTCCATTGTGAGCTGCTTTTCTTTGCCTTGTGACAGCTGCATATCTTCACATTGGAGAAGCTGAAATTAATCATTAATTACTATTGATCAGTTACTGAACTAATCATTGTTGCATTAGTTAAACCAATCTGTAAATGCTTTAGTGGTAACAACCTGATTCTTTAGTTGTGTGTTAACCACCAGGGGCAGCAGCTACACAAGTCAACAGAGTCCTTTAAAAGGCACCATAATCAATGTTGGAAAGTACTGCGCTTAGTGCTGTAAGTACCCAGGTCTTGTACTATGTTCCTACACCGTGGTATTTATTTGTTTATTTATCTTTACTTGTGTTAAGAACCTGAGTACTGCTTTCAGCACTGGTCTTCAGATACCGCTGTACAAACTGATGTTAACCAGCAGAAAAGGAATCAATGTCCTGGACTGTTACTTTGTGAAATAATTATAAATTGATCTGGAATAACTCGTCAGTTAATCAGCTGCCAGAAAGTTAAGATGCAGCTATTCTGATAAATCTATTTATTTCCAATCTCCCACATGTAACTAGTTGCCTGTTTTCTTTCTCTTCTTTGATATTAAACTAAACATTGTTGTGTTTGGCCTCTTGGACTAAACAAGTGATTCAAATGTGCTAAACTAGGTTTGGGGAATTTATATTTTACAAAATTCTGACATTTTATGGATGAATGGATTGATTTTATGGATTAATCCAAAGCACAACCGTTAGGTGCAGCCCTTATTTCACTCACTACCAAGAGTGTAGGATAGAAAACACTTTACATTTCATTATTTCTACTTGAATCTTCAGCTCTTAGCAGGTTTGACAAATGTAAATGTGTAATCATCCAGCACACGAGCACAGTGTAACTTCTCATAGTATACAGTAGCACCCCCAGGAAATTTCTGTAGATTGTTTAGAGTTTTTATTGTGTGAATACTATAATTTATCATTTAACAAAGAAGTAAATACATTAATAAAAGATCATTTTAGGCTAAAAATATAAAGCCAGCTCAGGTGACCTGATTCCGCCAATCGGCGCAGCACCCATTTGACCTTTGACCTTACTTCCACTTCCTGTAGAGTGCAGTTTTTTGCACTTTAGCATTACCCAAGCGACAAGTTGACGATATCACAGTAAACCGTTAAAAAAAAAAAAAAAAAAAAAAAAACTAATAAACGTCTACGCGTGGAGTCAAACGGAGAAGCGGGTGAGGGAGAAGCTGATTGGTCTGTAAAGCCGCTAGAGGACGCGACCTGGCACCGGGAGAACACGAGCCCGGGCCGTTTCCATACTTAGAAGATGTCTGAAGGTGGGTGCATTTTCCCTCTACTCCCTGTTATGAATTTAACTCATTTGGTGGTTGAGGCTCTGAGGCCTTACAGTGATTTCTATGCGATGCTCATTTAGGGGTCCGTGTATCAGTTACTTCTTTGATTTATCCTGCAAGCTAGAAAATGGATAAACAGTGAATTTCAGTTTTTGTAGGTGTGAAATAAATAAAAATTTGGGGTATTTCTTCAGTTTTCGTAACACAGCCTGAAATTAAATACAAAAGAAAACCAAAAAACTGTCTTATTCTGTTTTTCTGTTTGTGGATATCTTTTTTCCCTTTGTACGCATGCGCAGACTGTGAGCGCGACCGCTCCCACAGAGCGAGAAAGTGTAGAAGTGAAAGATCTTAACATGAATTGACACGGGAGGTATCGTTTATGGCAGATTATCTTAACTGCAAGTTCAACCGTGATCGTTTTGTGTCATGTACAATGTCAGTATGATTATTTTTACAAATTAGTTTTTACAACTTTTCTAACTTAAGTTACTACATTTCTCTCTAGAGTAGCTTTGCTCTACTTTTAACTGCTTCCACATGAAGTAATGGAGAGTTTCCCCAACACTGGAAGTGAAAGAGTGAATATCAAATGCTTTTAAATATGTCTTATTGTAAGAAAATGTTTTAATTGACCAGTAGTTATAAAATGACCTCTGCTGCCAGGTGTGTAGGGCAGGAAACGCAGGTTCCTGATTTCTGTTTTGTTCCATCTCTTCACAGGTGCTACCGCTGCCCTGGGCTGCATCTATGGAAAGTCTGGACTTGAGTCAAAGATTAAGGTAAAAATCACTTCACTACTTACAAACACTCTCTGACTCTTAAATGTAGTGACTACTGGACCAACAGGACTGATAAAACATGACCCGTCATAGAACAATAAGAGATCAGAGGAATGTTCTGGGTTTAGCTTCTTTATTTTTTACTCAACATAATTAAACCACATCTTTGCATCACTCACGGTCACTGATTTTGAAACAGTCACAATGCAGCTCTTCTATCTTGTGGCAGGCGCTGTCAACAGTCACCACCAGGAAAACAGGACTCGTGAGATTTAACAGGTCAGTCTGTCAACAAATCCCACGTGCAGCTCCACACTAACAACTACAGCTGTGTATCAAAGTCTGACTTATCTTATCCACACGGTTCCCAACAGTAAACTGTTCCCCTCCTGTTGGATTAAAAACTAAAACACCTTACTCATTTCCTAAAGCAGCTGCTAAAGACTCGTCTTCAGTAGGCGCAAAGTCACAAAGTACTGAGTTGGTTCGAGTGTGCACGTGAGATTTGTTGACAGTAAGCCAAACTGACAGCAGACTTGCCTTTTAAAGTCCTGGTTGACGTCAGAGGGATGTCTGGTGATAAACCGTACCCTCGGGTTAGATGTTTGTTCACTATGCGTGTTGTTCCCTCAGTTTAGTTGTTTGTATCCTACGAACAACTCTTCATCACAGTGCGTTTCCACCACAGAAACCAGGGTCTCAAGTCAGCAGGTCCCTGCTCAGGGGTTGTAGCTTATGAAGGCTCAGAAACTTCCAGGTGATGCCAGCAAACTGAACGCTGTTGACTGGCCAAGTACATCAACACTGTTTACACCCAGCAATTTGTAAAACCTACAGATATGTTGTTGTGTTTGTTGCTGACAACAATCAGGACAGCTCAGCAGGGGGTGGGGGACTGGTGACAAGCAAGTTCCTGGACAGTTCATTTGCTTGTGGGAAAATGAACTCCCTGGATCTTTTGGTGGAAACGCATCCTTGTCGCACTACATGTGAGCTGCATTCAAGTCAGAGTTTGGCTGCTTTTAGGCTGAGCTTCACTTCTTTGACATCTGTTAACCATGTTTTACAGGATAACGTCCAGACGACTTTGTGTTACAGGGTCACCATCACCTGATAACAGGTACGCATCCAGTTCTCACAGTAACACACACAGACATTTCTAAAAGAGCCAGAAAGTGGCTGAACAGCTCTGCTGCTGGTTCTGAAGGTCTTTCCAGACTGCTCCATCTTCTCACCACCTGTGTGGAAGGTGTGGTCACAAGTGACGGGGCTTTCTCAGTTTGTACATGATCCAAGATTTAACATGTTCCCTTCTGTTATGTTACAATAAACAGATGTTTCTTCCAAATGAGATTTATACATTTTACTTTATCTTCTCTCTCCGTTACTTTTCTTAGTGACTTTTTGATTTTACACTTAAACTAAGTTGTACTTAGAGTAATAGATGAATTACAGTTGTGACTTGAGAAGCAGGCTGATAAAACAATGATTTTTAATCACAATGTTCCAAAGAGTTTTGGAAACATTTCCAGAACCACAAAGTTTAGCCACTTTCTGGGTTTTGTTTTCAAACAGCACATTTATTTTTAAAGGATAAGGCCAGTCATTTTCTATATTAACTGTATTTGACAGTCCACATAGAGAGACTGAAACCAACGATTTGCACTAGTCACAGCTGATCAGCTTGTTCGTCTGTTCCATCGACCTTTAAGGATGAAATCCACCGCTGCACTGTGTGAAGTAATTCCACATTACAAAACACCTGACCAGCCTATTTGTTAAAAATATCCAGAGATCTCATGCATGGATGTTGGGCTCTTGCTTAGTTCAGATGCTGCAAAGAGTTCTGGTTGTTCAGAGCCTCCGCAGCAACAGTTTTGACAAATATACTGGTCTGGTGTTTCATAATGAGGAAATGACGGAGGTCTGTGGCACATACTAACAAGCTGATGCAGGACTGACAGACACTACTAGTCAACAGAGGCAAGTCACTGTTGGTTTAATCCCTGTACAGGGAGGACTTAAAGTACTGTTAAGAGGAAATGACTGGGCTTATCTTTAAGAGATCACCTGTGTAATGGTGGCATCAACAGGGTACGGACCGAATCATAGTAGTTATTCTGAGAGATGAACAGATGACTTTGATCACTACTGAATGATTTATCACCTGAGTTCCCCGACACTGTTGATTCTCTACAGGTTTACACACCTTAAAGCTGATGATGATTCCTAGACATTTAGCGGCAACTCAACATTATGCTTCATGATAGAATGGAGAAAAAAAAAGACATTTCTTCTCAGTACTTTTCCTTAGACCTACTTCTGCTCCAAAAAATCCAAAGTGTGTGCTGCCAAACAAACAGACCTCCCACCTGATGCTCATCAGTCGACAGTTCTTACTGAGGACAGTTATCTGCTCTCTGTATGAGGCCTAAACATTTGTCTTTTATGAACTTTAAAGACACAGCTGCACAGAAACGTGTTGACTGGTGAACATCAGGTGAGTGGAACAGGACCACCATGTTACCAAAAATAAAAGTATTTATGCTTGAGTCCAGCAGATGAGGCTGCAGTCCTGGCTCTGAGAGGTCAAAGGTCAGCGGGACAGGAGAGGGAGGTCACTGGAGTTCATGATGAGGCTAGAATCCAGGTTGAGGCTCTCTGAGGAAACAGGTGAGACATCGTGTCATCATAAATTTGGTTCTTTCAAATAAAATGCTGTATATAAGTGAGTTTTTTTTTTTCTGTCATTCCCCACCAACCCCATCCAGAGACCAGCAGCACCAGTGAATGTGTGTGAGTCCAGACCCTGGTTCAGCTTATCGGTCTGTGCTGTAGAACTCCACTGTTGTCCACCCAGTAAGCCACAACGCTGCACTGGGGGACAGGTTTCCTCCTCAGGAAACATCTGTCAGGAGGCTGTCTGTTTTTAACACGTTGTGTGTGGCTCACTGGTGTGTGCGACAATTTGCTTTTATTCCCTGGACACAGACAGTGCATTTAGGCCACGTCCATACCAGCGGTGGGGTCGTCTCACTGCACTGACTTTGTATTGAGTGAAGGCAATCCGGTCTTTTTACAAAAGACTAAACCATGTCTAAAAGCTCCTGGGGGGTAGGAAACACCACTGTCAAGGCAAAGAAGCTACAGCACAAAAAAAAAAAGCTTTAAAAGTGGCATTAGCAGGAGGAACAGGGAACCTGACACTCAGTATGCCTCCACGTGCAGCCATAGATAGATATACACCCTCTCTGTGATTAGCTGCAGGCCTTTGTCACTGTAGGCTCCTGTTTCTCTGTAAGCTAAAGTATTTTGAAGGGAACTTGTTTTAAATCAGAAAGCTATGCAGTGACATGCTTGTAAGTGCCTCAGCTAACTACAGTAGCTTGCTAACATTCTTGTCCAATCATCACTTTAGTCACCAGCTGCAACCCAGCTTCCCTTTCGATCTGGCTCTACGTTGGTAATAAATCAACTGTAACACTAATTTTCCTCCCTTGTGTACCTACTGTAGTTAGCTGAGGCGCCTACAAACATACGGAGATGTTTGCTGCACACACAGTGTCAGGATGCCCGTGACGCTGAAAACAGACGGCAACTCTGTGCAACACTGACCTTGGTCAAAGTTGAGCTTCTTGTTGGAGGAGGAGTCGCCGAGTCCTTCAATGTCCACCAGGTCACTGTTCACGTCCGAGTCATTGAGAGCGCTGAGAGTCACATCTGCACAGGGAGGAAAGAGGAGGTTGATGATGATGAACAGCATGAGGTGACACAGTTTCCCTACTGGCATCTACATTCCATCACTTGCAAGAATCAAGGCAGCACGTTTCAGAGACATGAGCCATCCTTTCCTCCAGCCCTTCATCTGAAGCGTCCAGTCACCAACTGAATCCAAACAGAGCACGTCTGTCCATAAGACTTCTGTGAAGAGCACTCTTGTACATCCAGGAGGCTAGGGGAGGAGCCAAGAGCGAGGATACACAAAAGCATCCTTCACAGGAGTCTTTTATGGCCCAACATGCCCCTTTATCAGAAATCAGTTGGATTGGATGCTTCAGATGAAGGATTCGGGGACGGGACACGTCTCTGAAATGCGTTTCCTCTGTCCTCGCAGCTTACATGGGCAGGACACAAGGATACAAGGGAAAAGGTGCAAATCAGGGAAACGTGGATGCAAATAAGGGAGATTCACTCTCAATCTGATCTGACAGAAGTCACTTCCTGTCAAAGTCACCTGCTGTTTTCTGTTTCTTGATGGGCGGGGCCAGGGAGGGGCTGCTCTGCATTCCCGTTGCCACGACAACCTGCGAGGTAG